ACTTTGGATTTCTTCTTTCCAATTCGTACGAAATCTTCACAATTCGTACGAATCCAGTTGTTCATATGAACGAAACTTTTCCAGCCATTGTTCACTTCGTACGAAATCATCCAGGCTTCACTTCGTACGAAACTTCATTCAAACACACGAAATTTGTCACACCAAATCGAAGCATAACGAAGCCTCTTAATGAACAGTAACCTCTTAATCATCCAACCTCTGAATCATAATTTCGTTCTTACAGTTTTTCGTTTGAAAGAACAACACACTTCGTTCATTCATCGATTCTTGACTTCACATCACTAATTTTTCGAACATTGGCTCCAAAGTCGACATCAAGCTATTAATCTTGTAGATTCGTCCCCAAACCATCGATCAACGAAATCAAAATAATCGATTCCAGTCACTTCACTTTTCAAACACGAACCCAAATATTCGTTCTTACGGTTCTTCCAAAATCATCAAAAACTTTCGTCTTTCAAACACTAACCCATCGACTATTATCAATTCCAAACAATCCGACTCCAAAATCGATTTCCTTAAACCCATCTATCGACCATCGATCCCAAATCAACAATCATCCAGGAACCCTTCGTACATCCACGATCAAAATCATCTTCCCAAACAATACCCATTAACGAAATCACAATTTTCGTTCAAAAATACAACTTCATCTTCCCAGTTCGTTCTTCAAACACCATCATAAAATCAAGACATCGACTTGCCCAAAAATTCGTTATTATCCCCAAAATTTAACTTGTAAACTGATTTCGAACCCATCTAACACAGTCGATTTCAACACCATTCGTTCTCATTAGATCTAACAATCGATCTTTGACTCCAAATCAACAATCGACATACATCATCTGTTCGTTCATTGACCCCAATCGGCATCAATCGAACTCGCACAAATCAACCTCGCGAAATCAAAAACCAAATCAACCTTTTCCATACACGAGTTCGATTTTCAAACAACCCATTTAACAGTCGTAAGTCACTGATCGGAAAAGCAAAATCAATTTTGACTTTCTGTTTGATATGTGTTGACTTCCAAATCAGTTGAGAATGAGTGAAATCAAAAGACGAAATCGACCTTCACCCTACACAAATCAATCGACTCCTAATAATCACAGTGACCAGTCGAATTTATCTTTAAACACCTTAAATCAGCAATCGATTTCAAATCAAAACCAGAATACAACATTCAACTTTGATTTCGATTTCAGTAATCTAACAGTCAAAATCGAAATTGATCCCAAAGAACATCTGATGTGAATGGCAACTTTCGATCATCATCAGTTCGTATGAACAAGAACATTTGATAGTACAAGCACTGTAAGCGTGTGATGAGGAACAAACGAAATGCTTCATATCCGATTAATGAATTCTTTGTGCTTCAACAGTGAATTCGAATAAAAAAAAACGGACTGATTAAACATTTTGGGCTCAAAAAAAATGAACAGTAAATGACTTGATTTGAGCTCAATGATAAACCGGATGAACAGTAACAAACTTATAGAAAATGATTTTCAAACCGGATTAGATCAATCAATAAATGAACAATAAAACTCAAAATTTTTTAGAATAATTTTGATTTTGGTTTAAATTTGATCTAAACAAAAATAATTGGATCAACAATGGTGTTGAAACGGATTAGATCCAATGAGGAAAATTGATCAAAAATTGAAAAACGTAAAGTACGAATCAAAATCATGGACGTTTTGGAATCCATTTGAAAATTTGAGATACCTTTTTGACGAATCGAGTTCCGTTTTCAACGAACGAATCAAATTTAGAAGATCTTGGTTCTTTTGTTGGAATGAGAAAATCTCCAATTTGAACATTGTACCACCCATTATGCGAGATGTACAACTCGTTCTTCGTGTTCTTCAATGATCCAAGAAAATCTTCAAAAGAACCACCAATACTTTTGGGTTTTGACTTCAAATTCATTGCTACCTTTGGAGATTGTTGCTTTGGAACCCAAATTTGCTTCACGGATTTCGGATTCACAACAACATTCGACGATTTTTGTGAATAAACCCGCTTGTTCTTCCGTTTAATCTTCTTCTTCTTTTTCTTTCTCATCTTTTTGCATCTTGAAGACTTGGTTTCATGAACAAACCCACTTTCCACAACTTCTTGAGTTTGAATCAAATCTTTTGGAGTTTGATACTTGTGAATATCTTGGATCACCGGCTTCCGATAAGGAATCATTCCTTCAAACAAATCACAAGAACACAAAATATCATCGGTTTTAACTCCAATCGAGCAAAAAACTTTTTCATCATGAAAATCAACTTGAACTCCTTTTTCTTGAACATCAAGAACATCAAGAACATGATGATCATCAAGAACATCTTCAACAAACATAAGAGCATGAAGATCACTTGGGTTATCAATAAGAGAAATGAAATACTTATCAAACAATTCTTTTTCCTTTCCTTCATTTTTATCTCTCTCATTCGTCAAGTTATGGCAAACTTTAGTCAAGCATTCAATCTTTGAAAGTGGTTGAAAAATCAATCCTCCATGATCATCCTTCAAACCTCCATAAGAAATCAAAGTATCCCATGAAATCATCAAGCCTTTCAATATTAATCCAATGAATTGTTCTAAACCGATTTTGTATTTGACATCTTTAACGATCACAATCCAAGAATCATACTCCAAGTAAACCGCCATTTTTGATCACTAGAACTTGAAGATTTCTAGAGATAGAAAGTGATTTTGAATGGGTTTTCTAGAGAGAGAAAGTAAAATTCACTTGAATTCTAGTGAAGAAAATCGAATTTTGAATAGAATCAAAGATGAATTCGATTTCTAGAATCCAAAAACTCTCTAAATCACGAAGATCAAAACACAATGAAGAATCACCAAATCAAGATTGCCACCATGGATCAATTCTTGATCAAATCAAGAACACCCGCTCTGATACCAATTGTAGTGGTGTTGATTATGATGGCATGTGCGGAATTAGAAAGATCTAGTGAATCATCATGTAAAATCAAGAACACAAGGAGTAAATAAATCTATGTAAGATCATATTAGATCTAGAAAGAATATACAAATGAGTTTGTACAAAGTTTCTCTCTCTAGTCTAACACTCCAAATGGTTCCCTCCATAATGGGAGTCACTCACTTCCTATTTATAGGAAAGACTCAACCCATTTACACATACAAGAGGGTAAGCCTAAAACACTACATCCAAGAGTGACTTTGCACCCTAACATCAGTGACTCAGAGTCAGGCGAAGAAGAGGGTGAAATCGAAGAGGGATTATTCAGAAAAAGGTTTGTAACTTTCTTAGAATACTTATAGATTTTTCAAAATCCCTCTTAAAAAAAAACGTTCAAAACTTGTTCCTAGATTGTGGGCAATTCCTAGATTGTTCATGGTGAAAACAGTATGAGATGAACAGATGAACGTTTTTAGAACTTAGATTTTACATATTTCCAAAATTTGAGAAAGTATATATAACCAAATACTTGATGAAATATCGACCTATATCTAAGTATACAAATAAAATACTTGGTAAATAGATAGTGAAATCAAATAAAAGAATTGACATACTATTTACCTAAAAACACGCAAATATAACGAATCTGGGTCTTTGGGTTTACAATTTTTACATCGACACGTGTTTATACCATTTTAGGAAGATATTTTGGTTTGTTTATTTATGTGTTAGACAATTTTAGCATCCTAGTTTTAGTGGGTACATTACTATTTACACACAAACAGGCATATAGTAAGAAAATTGTCATAGAACAAACATAATTCGAATTCATAACACATTAATGAATTAAATTCAATAGCAATAAAGTTTTGAAAATATAAATTCTCATCAAAACTAACAAGCATAACAAACAAATTGTCTTAAATATTGATCAAGGCAGAAAATGACAGAGTTGCACTTTTTCTAAAATAACTTTGTTTTTCATGAGATAGTAATCTACTTTTTAAGGGAGTACCTTTGAGTATTTAAAAAAAAAGGTTTATGACCTATTATTACTTATTTCTTATATCAAATGTGCACTTCTTATTATAAACTATTGTGAAATTATTTTCTTCGGTATTTAAAGTTGTTTTTGGTTAATCTATCTCTACCCTATACTATGTCACTTTCCTTTTTTAATAAAAAGATAACGAAACCAAAATCATGGAAGCATATTACACCAATTACAACAGAGCAATTTAAACAATTGCGTGATACTGCCCCATATAATGGTGGCCAAAAGGTAACTTGTGCAATAAATACTAATGGACATTCAATGATTTTTTTTGAATGAAAAAGAATGTTAAAATCAAACAAAAGTAATTGGGTCATGCTTTCAATTTTTTTTTATGAAATTAAAGCTGCTGATTTATTTTATTAGGATAATAGAATAGTGTGTAATTTAAATTCCTGTTTTTCAAGAACGATTTTTGGATGAAGGAATAAGCGGGAGAAATAGAGTCAGGAGACCAACTCAAGAGTTAATGAGATTACGATTTAAAGATGTTTAAAATCAATTGTTGTTGATTTTATAGGATTTTTGTGAAACGTATTATATTTGATTATGTAATTGTAATTGATCGGTTATTTGTCAAATCCAGTTAGGTTTTAACCTAACTTTTTTTTGGTAATTTTAAAAGACCTAATTTTTATTACTTAATATTTTCTAATGCTTTATATCTTTATATAAACACATATGATTGTTTGTAAAAATTATGTTCTTAAATTGTAAAGCGTGTTTGTAAATATCTAATTATGAAGTCAGTTTTATGTGATTTTGTTAAATTTCTGAAATTATATAATTGTTTGAAGTTTTAAACTTTGAATTTAGGTCTCGTGATGTTAGATTGGAATAGAATTTTTTTTTGTGGATGACTAGATTTTTCAAACACCTAATTTGAAAACGTGAATAAATTGCCAATAATTAATTATCCATAGGTGGTGTTTACCTATATAAGGGGAGATATTTGTGGTTTCTTTAAATATACATATATTATTCGATATGATAATGGGAAAAAACTTACGGTTGTTTGTGTTGATGCTGCTCCTTACTCTCTTTGCTACAGGCATTTTACTTTATTCCTGTTTTACCATTTTTGTTACACATATATGTTGATATATGAAGATTTTTTAAGTTGTGTTTTTAATTATTATTATGGAAAGTAGATGATTAATGATGATTTTAGAATTGCAGGTAACAGACTAAATGAGATATTAGTTAGATAGAAAGTATAGTCCTTGTTTGTTCCAACTCCGTATTTTTGTTCTTGAGATGAAAATGATGAGTTAATGTGTGTGATTTTGAGAGAATAAATATTAAATAAATACAAATGGTGATTGATTGTTTTGTTTGTTACAGATGAGACTTTTATGAATCCAACAAAAGCAGTGGTTTGTGTAATTGGTATCCCGAAGTCAAATTGTCAGACTCTAGAGGACCGTAAAAAATTCTGCGCAAAACAAGTGTTTGATCCCAAATGTAACTGAAAAGCTTGTCGCTGTAAGAACGCGTCTGCTTGAACAATAATACTATCTATGTACACAATCACATAACCTGATTTCTATGCCGTATTTAATATCAATAAAAAGTTTATGTCAAACTTGGTGTTCGATCTACTCTTTTATATATATATATATATATATATATATATATATATATATATATATACACACACACACACCACTACAAGAATGGTCCTGTAGTATTCAAAAAACATTGAATGAGTTCTCAGTCAAATGATTCCACCACATTGAGTTCTGGTGCTCCGAAGCCACCAACACCGCCCAACGTTTCTCACGGTGCCTTGGCATGCCCATCGTTCAGAACTCCGATCTAGCTACCTCCTCCCCTCCGACCAACTCCACTTTCTCTTCATTGCTCCTTATTCCCCCTACATTTACTCCGCCACCACCATTTTTATCCCGACCTTTTCCCGTACTGACTGCCACAACTTCACAGCCTCCTACGGACTCACTGTTAGCTCGGTCTCCATTAAAGTTGAAGACGCTAAAATTGCTTTCTCCGTCAGCGTCTCTCATTGGGCTTTCCCCTCTTCTGCTACTAATCACCCTTGGAAATAATTGTTACATAGTTGATTTATTCATTCTCAAAAGACAATTACATAAGAATATATAGCGAATACCTAAAGCCTAATGGCTAAAACCTAAAGGGTTGGGCTTAAACCCTATTCACTACCATCCCCCCATGGTCTGATCGGGTGGAGACGATTAAACTGGAAAAATAAACTAACGAAGAAAACATAAAAACTAGATGATGATAGCGACATCGGTGATGGTAGAGCTCTAATAATGGCGAATAACATCGACAGATCATTGAAGAAGAAGAGAGAAGAAGCCGCATCCATAAATTCCATTGTAGAAAAAGAGAAGAATTGCGGCGGTGGTGATGATCATGCAACCAGCAGTAGAGGAGTCTGGGGAAAGCCAACAAGAAAGAAAGAGGTCTCAAGCTGTGGCAGACAGAGCCAATTCCGGCGAGATCGGCAACTGGAATGTTGATAGAGAAAGAAACAACTACATATCAGAGGCTGCCCGACAGAGAAGGTGTCATCGGAGGGAGGAAACAACAACATCAGAAGGGGATGAAATGGAAAAGAGATCCAAAGAAGTGGCTAGTCGAGGTGGAGGCAGAAGGCTCAGAAGCCATGGTCATATGAGGAGGAGGTAGAAGTGGACGAGGTCGTGGAAGAAACCGATGAAAGAGCTCTAGTTTGGTGTCAGTGATTGTTTTATTATTTAGGCTGAAAAGAAAAGAAAATGAAAAATATGGAACATAAAGAAGGCACTTCCGACGACTATTAGAGAAGGTCACCGGAGGTGGAAGGCGGTGGTTGTGGGTTGTGGTTTGAAGCAGGGTATTAACCTAGAGCTCTAATACCATGTCACATAATTGATTTTTTGATTTTGAAAAGACAATTACATAAGAATATATAGATATTGCCTAAATCGTAATTGATAAACCCGAAAGGTCTTGGTCCTAAACCCTAATAAATAACAATAACGACATCGTACTCATTGAATTTGAAGAATGGAGTCGGAGATGTATTGACAAATGAACAAATTAAGGAGTGTGAGGAGTTGGAAATATTAGTCGATAGAGATGATTAGTGGACTCTACTTCAGATCTTCACGAAGCATGTGGGTGAAATGAATTCCCTTCTTGAAGAATGCTCTTAGACTCATCAATTTTCTTGAATTCATTATCAGCTGATCCAGTAATATAGAACCCTAACTTTCATATTGATCAATTCCCAAAATTTGTGATTGTTGTTTGTAAATATATGAGCAGGACAACCATTTCAAACAGAAGACAGGGTGTGAATGACTTGACAACGGATTTAATGAACCCGATGACGCAGGAGGCGCCACCATCGTCTTCAGAGTCAATTGAGGTCGACAGTGGGGGTAGGTTGCTGATGTGTGTTTAAAAATGGGTGTGTGTGTATGTATGCATGTGTTTTGACTTGTAGTTGTATGTGTATTTTTTTTAGTTGTAGGTGTGTGTTTTTTTAAGAGTTGAGGTTTATGTATGTATCTGTAAAGTGTTTGTTTAAGCTTCAATGCGTTTCAATAGGGAAGAAGACAAAAGTATGTGTATGTGTGTGTGTGTGTGTGAGAAAGAGAGAGAGAGAGAGAGAAAGAGAGAGAGAGAGAGAGAGAGAGAATACAGAGAGAGTACAGTGGGGGTGGGTGGTGGCTCCTATTCCTTTTTTTATTTTTTTTTTCTTAAATCAAAATAGCATTAAAATAATTACAGAAAAAGGGAAAAAAATGTAAGGGCATAATTGTCTTTTCAAGCTTTTTTCGGCCAAAAACAGGGAGAAACCCTGATTTTGGACCTTCTATGCAAGTGGGAAAGTTTTTGAACCCCATCTGAAGTTTTTTTAATACCATAGGGACCAATCTTAGAGTTTTTTCATATGTATATATTACATTCAAGATTCATAACATGTTCTTTTGTGAAATTCTCAGACTTTTTTTAAGAAACAAATAAGAAATCAATAATTTGAAGCACAATAACTTTGACATTAAAAACTGGATATTGAGGTTTCTATTCACTTTTTGGAAGCATAATAATTCTGTAATAGATCCACTAAATATGTTCAAGCTTTTGATTTAGATTAATAAAACTTGGTTTTATGGTCAATATCATAAGAAAAATACATATGTAGTATTGGTATTTTCAGAAAAAAAATAAAAATAAAAGAACCAAGCAGATGCTTTTGAAAAGTCATAAGATTGTTTTTGTGTTTCATTCATCTCTGTATTAGGCCGTTTTTTCTATTCAATTATCCCATTAACTGTTGTTCAGACATCCTTGGTGTGTTTGGTTTGCGGAATTCGAAGGAATTGGAATCTCAAATTCCATTCTGTGGTATCAACGAAATTGAATTAAGAGAGATTCCTTCAAATCCATGTTTAAGATATTTCATCATTCCTACGGGCGTCTGGTAAGAACCGAATTTCATTCTTAATTTTTCGTTGAAAGACCAAATTTCCCTTGTAAACGTATTAAAAAACAAATACATTTCAATATGTTTAATGGATTTATAAACCAAACAGGAAGTAGTAAGTTATGATGAAATTGTATGGGTATGGATAATGTTTTGGAATTCTTTAAAATTTCATTATTGAGTGTTACTCAATATGGAAACTAATGTTTTATGAATACTAATTTTTCATTCATCTTATTTTTTTATTTAAGAAAACACAACTTTATATGTTAATGGTTTGGTAGGTATATTTGGAAAGCCTTTTATACGGATGCAACGCCTTATAAAATAACATAGACAAACAATATAAAAATTGTACTTATGAATCTTCGGATACACAAAACCTAAATAAAACCAAATTAAACAATAAAAGGAAACCATAGTATAAATATATTTTGACGACCCTAGTTTATATATATTGGAGATATTAAACTATAAGGGCTTAATTGTAATTTTATGATAGTTAGTTAAGTGAGTTAGTTAGCTATTAGTTGTTTGTTTCTTTTCTTTTTTTGTACAAGATGTAATAGTTTGTTTGATCAATTCATTCCTCTCCAATGAATTGTAATATGGTATCAGAGCAGAATGACACTCAATCCGCTTTTCAATTTCTCTGTTCTTTGGTTTGAACCAATCTTTTGTTCATCAAATTACGAAATCCTCTTCATTGATTTATTTCTTCAATTCACAAATTGTTCTTTTGATTTTTTTTCAACCGATTCACAAATTGTTTCTTGTGAATTCTTCTTTCGTTATCCAATTCACTTTTGTTTCTTTTGAATTTTTGTTCTATCTTCTGATTTGATCAAATTTGTAATCATGTCCTCCTATTCAACTCAAATACCTCCAATAGAGCAATGGCCCAATAATATTCCAAATCCGAAGAGAACTTATAAATTTAAGGGGATGAATGGTTCCTTCTCTTAAACCATAGGTCAGATACTTCTTATGGATCCTCTTCCATCTATAGATCGTGTTTTCTATTTGGTTGTTCAAGAAGAGAAACAAAAATCAATCTCAACAAACTATTGCATTCCTTGCTAAAACTAATCAAAATCCGGATCAGAATCGAAACTATAACAGTAATAGCAACAATACCATAGCTACAAACAAACTCATTGAAAATTTGATGTATACACTATTGACAAATGTTATAAGTTGTGTTGGTAGCCAGCTCTAGCTGTAGTGGTGAGCTCAAGTGGTCTATCTAGTAAGCTTGAGACAGCTCTAGTGAGCTTGAGTCAGCCCAGCCTAGTAACATAAGTTTCTATCCATATTGTTTTGACCCAAAGTTAAAAGGCCCATGTACTCTTGTTATGTAATATTGTGTCACACCCCAAACCAGAACGGCGGAAACGTTCGGGGGCAGAGGACGTCATGTACAGTATCATAACAATAAATAATAGTAATCAAAGCAACAACCATCATATTGAAAATATATAATTTACATTGTGTTCACAACATTTTGTGTATGACACTAAAAGTATATAACAAAAAATAAGACGTAATGCTACTATACTCAGTCTTCTCAAAACCTGTGTGTGTACCTGTCTACTGGTTCCCTGAGAATACAAGTGGTTTTGAAAGTGTATCAACATTTAAGTTGGTGAGTTCATAAGCATTTTTTGTTTTAGAAAGTATAGTCTTTGTTCTTTGAAAATGTCAGTGTGTTCCTCCAGAAAATCCAATATTTTCTTTAGTAAAATAAAAAGTAGTCTTAGGCCTTAAGACCAAAATGTATAAGTTTCTTATGCTTAAAATATGAAATATGACGATTTAAATTCATATAAGTAATGTGACCAATACCAATTCCTACTATGATTACTTAGTGCATACAAGTTATATATAATCAGAGATCGAACGGACAGTCGAATGTGTGGTTCCGCCCTAAGCCCACAACCAAACAAGGAACATGAAGTAAGGCTGAATTCACACATTCCACTGCCTATCAGATCTTCATTGTATATAACCCAAACGTATTCACTTGGTAATCACAGACTTAACCATAATGGTCCTAAGCGAAATGTAAGTAATCGTCTTTGTTTCCATAAAATCCTATATTATCTAATAATTGAAATGTAAGTCGTTTACTTGTAAAATAAGGGTGTTCGTTCCAGAAAATCCTATATTTTCCCTAGAAATGAATTGTAGTCTTAAATGTTACAAGACCGAAAAATACAAGTACTTTGCCATACTTAAATTAGTAATATGTAGTTTTATTCGTATATAAAACCGTTTGAAGAGATGTGTTTTCACGTAAAAATACACTTATTGTCGTTTTCCCATGTGAGTTTTCATAACCGTGCTATTAATGAAATGTCTGCATCGATTTTCTTCGGGCGTCGAAAAGTTATGACATTTGTCACCCATAACTTGCCGGTCTGGCTGTAGCTAGTAAGCAGGGTCCGGGATCATCAGTCTCGTATAGATCTATACACAAGTATCACACTCTCTGATAGGAGACTCTGGTTATAAAACAGGACTTCCGTGTATACCTTAGTAGGTATGGCGAAGACAATGTCTCACAAATTTATTCAACGAGATACATGTTTTTGTAATGAAAATGTTTGTATGTGTAACTGTTACCCCTTTCGTTATGTTTATAAAATATAAAAATAATCGTCTTTTTATATAATCGTTTCTTTTCCCCGAAAAGGTAAAATAAAGTGAATGTTTCCAAACTATACCTACTATAGTTTAAAATGTATGTTTTGTTGAAATGAAAACCGTTGCGTTTTAACATATTGTGCATGTAAATGTTTGCACTTTAGTAGTAACGTTATTTCGCATATTTGATGTTTTCGTGTAATAGTTATATAAATTGTAAGAAAACAATAACAATAGTTTGTACTTTAACACAGGTTTCCTCGTGTTTTACATGTATTCCCCCCCTAAAACATGGAAAAAGACATGAAAATGTAGGGGTATGAACTCACCTTGAGTGTGATTGCGGTTAGAATCTAACTAGAAACGGTCAGCGATTCGTGAACGTCGGGCTCGGGAAGTAGAACGGCCTTCGAAAACGAGAGAGAATGAAAGGAAAAGGTGTAATGATTGAATGAGCTTTGATCGCTATTTATAGGCTGATTTTGGCTCTCTCACGTCGTGAGCCTCACATGCACACGTCGTGAGCTTCCATGAGTTATCTCGTAGCCTTCCCAGGTGTTTTCTAGTTTCGATTAGTGTCCTTTTGACTCCTCACGTCGTGAGAAATCATGCTTACGTCTTGAGCCTTAAACGTAGACGTGTCATGCTCTCAGACAACCGTATCTTCGGAAGGTCATAACTTTTGCATACAAACTCCGTTTTTGACGTTCTTTATATCCACGCGTATGTATTTCCGAGTACTACAACTTTATCATAGACTCAAATAGCTAATTATAAGTCTTATTTAAATTTCTCTTGTTATAAAGATTTATAGTGTTAGAGTTTATCATAACTTCTTCATGCGAAGTTAGATTTAAACGTTCTATATATTTTTGGAATCGTATGGACGTATACTTTGAGTTGTATCATAAAGTATGTGTGATAGTTCATACTTGTCTTAGAATTTTTCATGAATTACATACTAAGTTTATCACATTACTAGTTTAACAAAATCACATTACTTGATTGACATAATCACATGTGATTGTTATTGACCTATTTTGACTAGTGTAACATATTCAGTGAAGAGAGGTAGGGTTAGAGAGTAAGAAGAACATCACATATTGTAGAGGGAAAAGTGAGGTCAATTACTTAACCTAATACAAAAATCTCTCTCTTCTGATTTGGATGTAGGCAAATTTGTTGAACCACTTAAATCTCTTTTTCTTTTATTATTTATGTTCATTTCATCGTTGTTGTCATTGTTTGATTTTGGGTCCAAAGGGCAAAAATGGGAATCTTATTAAAAAATGTTAGTTGCTATCCATTTCTTTGTTTTCTGCATTGTTTTTGTTGGAACATTAATTGGTATCAGAGCTTAATATCAAATCCAGGTGGTAGAGCTCAAATTTGAGGTAGTTAGGTGGTATTTTGTTTTCTGCACACAAGGTGTATGATAAAAGTCATGAGAGAGACAGATTCTGAAACAAGCGGGTAA